AGAAGCCTTCTTTGGATTGGATTGGAGGGAAAGAAGAACATTATTATATTCAATTTCTGCCATTTCAATTCTGCCTGAAATCCTGCTGAAGTTTTTGATGTAAAGCTGCTTGAGAGGAGCCTTAAGACCCTTCAATTTCTTGCAGATAACAAACATCTTATTACCCGACACTTGCATCTGCCATCCTTCAACAACAGTGGGCAAGAAAGAAGGTAAATCTGTAACAGAGTTATGGAACTTAAAGGAAACATTACCTCTCACCAAGTGTGAATCTGAAGAAACAATTATTGGGGAGTGATCCGAAATAGATTCAAAGCCTAGAACTTCATAGGAAGATCTTTGAAAATCATTGGACCAAAGATTGTTGCAAAGAACCCTATCGAGCTTGCTCCAGACCCGGTCATTCGTCCAAGAGAAGTAGGAACCATGGCTATTGAGATTTGAAGGACGAATCTCAAGGAAGCAATCTTGAAAATCACAGATTTTATAGGCAGAGACAGCAGTACCATTGACCCTATCAACAGAGCAGAGGATACTATTAAAATCTCCAAGGATGAGCCAGGGAGAAGTCATATTTGCCCCAATACTCAACAAATTGATCCACAAGGCTCTCTTAGCAGTAATAGAATGTAAACCATACACGAAAGATATGCAAACATTTTTTCCCGAATTCTTGTCCAACAAATTGCAATGAATAAGTTGGGCTGAACTTTGTAAAACATTCACAGTCACTTTTTGAGGTCTCCAAAGGATCACAATCCTACCTGCAGAATGAGAAGACAGATTATGTGTGAAGTTTCAGTCCCCAAATTTTTGTTTCAAAATGTTTTCAACCAAGTGTGCAGTAAGCTTGCTCTCCAAAATAGCCAGTACATCAATACTTCGTTTCCGCAAAAAATTACTGCACCCCTTGGTGCTTAAGAGGCATGTTAAAGCCCCTTATATTCCACGAAGCAACAATCATTGGTTTGTATGGGGATATGAGTCCCCAACACAAGGTAGTGAATGATTTTGAGTCTTCTTGCCAGCTTTGATAAGTGGCCTCTTTGTCGATTCCTTAGGCTGGATGTAGCTGTCTTTCTGTTCTTATTTCGGATTCTGGAAACTGCCATGGTGAATCCTTCATTAGGTGGTTCGTTGTGGGAAATAGGATCCGAGCAAGATGCAATGTTAGGATTACCTTCATAGTTGCCAGCAGTGATCATGAAGTATGTTTGACACTGGAACCCCTGTCTTGCTAGCTGCCTCAGTTTTATCGGTAGAAGTAGCCATTTCATCTTGCGCATCAACAACAGCCTCCAGCACAAGGGGTGAGGGGCTGGACTGGGATAGAGGGGACTGTGGCACTCTATCCACACACTGAATTGGGTTGACCACTTGTGTTTCAATGTGAGGCTGCTGCATGCTATCAACCTTTTCGGGAGTCGATTTGCATTTTGCCAAATCATGGCCTATCATCTTACAATGCACACAGAAGGAAGGTAAGCTCTCATAGTCAATACTTTGAAAGAAAGTAGTACCATCAGGGAGCCTGCATCTCACCTCATCCACCAAGTCCTCAGCCACATCCACTTCAACTAAGGCTCTTGCAAAGGAGATGGATTGCTTTGAAGCAGTGAGCTGGTCCGTTCTAATGGGAGTTCCAATTTTTTATAGGATCTTACCCAAAGCCGTTGGATTCCAAAGCTCCAGTGGCAAATTTTTGAGTTGGACCCAAACAGGGATCTTACTCAATTCCTTCGAACCGAACATGAACAAAGGGGCATAACTTTCAGCAGTAAAGGTCTTTGGAAAATAAAGTAAGGGCCAGAAGAGAGGACCTTGACCATGTCATCTTCATTGTCAAACTTGAAGATAAGCCATCCGCTTGCATGGGTAATGAAGGATGACTTAACACCCCATTTTTTACAAGTATCCATTAGAGCTTTCTTCCCAGGAAACCTTCCTGCTACATAGCCAACAAGGCTGTGTTTCCAACTGCCTGAGAGGGGGAGGATATCATCTTCATCAAGAACAACATCATCCTCAGAAGAGGGAGCAACAAATTTCAAGTTAAACCCATTGGAAGGGCCTCTATTGTCTTTAAACAGATTTGCCCATTGCTTAGCTGGATCCCTAAGGTGCTTGGTAGCAGCAGCCGCCTTTACAACTTCAGGAATGTCCTCTGTGACCGAGTCATCTTCCCCCAGTGTACACGATTTTGCCTCTGTTGGTTCAGGCAAACTATCAAACACCTGGAGGGTATCTTTCGAATAGGAGCCTGTTGGTGATGTTGGAATAATAGCTTCACCACGATCAACAAGCAGTGTTCCAGCATCAGTTACAGTGTCAAGATCCTCAGAGCTTATGCCTTTTGGAGTTGTACATTCTTCGAAAACTTTTTTCGGTGTTTGTTTTTTCTTAGCCTTACGTTTCTTTTCGTTAGATCTACCCATCAGTTCCCAAGCGTATGAGCTGGGTCACATCCGGGAGACTCCAGGCATGGAGGTTGAAGGACGAAGAAATAGCAAACACCAGCACCAATTTATAAGCAATGGGTTCAAATAGAATACAAAACTCACCGCTTGATAGAAGACAAAAAATCACCGTTTGGAGAACACCTTCCACGCGTGGCACTTCGAAGCAAGTATCAAAAGATTACAAACTTTCCCACTTGGGTTTTGCTAGACGCGTGGCAGGCTAAGAAGATGGAACCGAGTGAACAAATCAAGGTCCACCTTAAAATAGCTTGGGTATGTCCGAACGAAACCAAAAACCACCGCTTGAAGGGAAGCCTTTGGTTGCCAAATATTACAGCATAAACGGATACCTCCACTAACTAGTCCCAAGCAAATGACGCATGGAACAACTCTCCAACGTAGATTGATTGCCTTTCACCCGCAATGGACGTGCCACAGGGATTCTCCCTTGGCGGCTGAAAGCAAATCAAGCCTTGACTGACTGAGAGCTCTTTCTTTTTTTTGGGAAAAATGTAAATATATATTAAGCCCAAAGTGATACAATATAGCTGGGGCATACCCCGAAAATCAAAAAATGAAAACAACAAATGGTCCTCGTGCAAAAGCTAGAGTAAGCTAGACCACTAAGAACATATGCCTAATATAAGTGGGTAAGATGTGAGTGTCTATACACAAGAAACTGAATCTTGTCAATTACATCTTTTACAAAAAATGACCCATGATCAAAAAGAGCGCTATTCCTACTAAGCCAAATGCAATATATAGTAGTAGCCAAAGCCAAGCATCTTTGTTTGCCTATTATGCCCGAGACGCCTCTGCAGTGTATTAGCTTGTTGATTGTGCCTTGAAGGGAGATGTTTCTCTTTGGGAAGAGACTCTAATCTCTTATAACCGACCAAACCTGTAACACAAGAGGGCAAGAGAAAAATAAATGTGCATTTGTCTCCAATTCAGTTTTGCAAAGAAAACATGTTTGCCCTTTGTTCAAAAAAGAAGCCTTGTCAAGTGTGAGCAATCTTTTGTTGACAGCTAGCCAAAAAATGAAGCTCATCTTAGGTGGAATAGTCGCGTTCCACACAACATTCTTCCAAGGAACCTTAGGCTTCGGTTGCCTCAAATATGCATAGGCTCTGCTAGCGCTAAGTTTACTGCCTTGGACCCAAGACTGCATCGCATTCACAACATTAACATGGCTATTTTCTTTGGTAGCAATGGAATCGCGTATGAGGAAGATCCTTTTCATGAAGACCGAATGTGGTGGGGAGGCATTACACTCCCAAATGCTCTGATTTTTTAAATAATAATGGTGGATCGATTTCACCCAAATAGAGTCCTTTTTAGTATGGAAGTCCCAAAGGGTTCTGGCCATTAGAGCATTATTCCAAGTCTTGAGACAAAAGAGACCCAAACCTCCTTCCTCCTTGGGGGAGCAAACCGTGGACCAAGCAACCAATGGCTTTTTCTTTCCCTCCTCTGCCTTGCCCCACAAAAAGTTTCTACATGAAGCATTAATTCGGTGAATGACAGATACAGGGAGGGGAAAAATACCAAGCCAGAAATTAGCAATCCCCTGTATCACAGCTCTAACAAGCTCCAATCTGCCTGCATATGACAATGACTTCCTATTCCAGCCTAGAATTAATGCTGTAATTTGGCCAATCAGGGGATCATAATGGCAGATATTCTGGAAGCTAATAAAGGAACACCCAAGAATCTAAATGGAAAAGAACCAAGAGGGAAACCCGTAAGATTCTGAATCAAATCCACATCATGTTGCTTTACCCTAGCCGAGTAACAAGCAGATTTTTCTTTGCTAATTTGCAGACCTGACACACTGCAAAAATGTTGAAGCTTGTTAAATAAAGCTGTGACCGAAGGGATATCACCTCTGGATAGAAGGATAATGTCATCAGCATAAGTTAGGTGGGAAATCTTCAAGTTTGCGCATGCTGGGTGGAAATTGAAAGCAGAATCCTCACCCAAAGAAAGTAAGTCCCTAGAAAGATATTCTAAACAGAGAACAAAGAGGTAGGGGGATAAGGGATCCCCTTGCCTCAGCCCCCTTTTTCCTTTGAACATCCCATGGATACGGCCGTTAACTGCAATGCTAAAAGAAGTGGAGGACACACACTCCATAATCCAATCAATAAACCTGATGGGGAAGCCAAGCTCAAACATCATCCACTGCAAAAAATCCCAAGAGATGGAGTCATATGCTTTATGTAAATCATTTTTTAATAAGCATATAGGAGAAACCCTTTTCCTAGCATATTTTCGAATGAGCTCTTGGACAAGGAAAATATTGTCATTCATGCTTCTATTCTTCACGAAAGCAGATAGAAAAGGACCCACAATCTTTTCCAGAACAGGACCCATGCGGTTGGCAAGGATTTTCGAAATTATCTTATAAAGGACATTGCAGCAAGAGATTGGCCTGAAGTGGTTGACCATTGAGGCAATGGCGCGAAGCTACCGTGCGTTGAGGCATTATCAGATTTCGGTATCAAAGCAATGATAGCATGGTTCACTTGCTTTAAAAGTTTACCTGATGCAAAAAAACTCCAGGACGGCAGCATAAATATCATCACCCAAGATATTCCAAGATGCCTTAAAGAATTTGGCATTGAACCCATCAGGTCCAGGTGATCTATTATCATCAAAAGCAGCCACTATTTTCCAGACATCCTCTTTTGAAATGGGGCCCAATAACATATCGAAGAAATGAGGGGGCACCTTGGGACCATTACTGGAAATAATATTGGAAGTAGGAGCAACATGTTTTTCAACCCCTAACAGATCCGAGAAGTGGGAGACAAAAGCATTAGCAATATCATGCTGGGATGTGAGGGAATTACCATCGATAGAATGGATGGCAACAATGAACTTGTGGTGCCTGTTGCTGTTAATGTAGCTATGAAAAAACTTTGAACATTTATCAGCATCTATGAGGAATTTGCTCTTCATTAGCTGAGAAATATGACAGACCTCAGCCTTTCTAAGACTAATAATGTCCCTTCTTGTCCTGTCAGCTAAGCCAAGCAAAAAAGCCTCCTTTGGATTGGATTGAAGGGAAAGAAGAACATTATTATATTCAATTTCTGCCATTTCAATTCTGCCCGAAATCTTGCTGAAGTTTTTGATGTAAAGCTGCTTAAGAGGAACCTTAAGACCCTTCAATTTCTTGCAGATAATAAACATCTTATTACCCGACACTTGCATCTGCCAACCTTCAGCAACAGTGGGCAAGAAAGAAGGTAAATCCGTAACAGAGTTATGGAACTTAAATGAAACATTACCTCTCACCAAGTGTGAATCTGAAGAAACAATTATTGGGGAGTGATCCAAAATAGATTCAAAGCCTGGAACTTCATAGGAAGATCTTTGAAAATCATTGGACCAAAGATTGTTGCAAAGCACCCTATCAAGCTTGCTCCAGACCCGGCCATTCGTCCAAGAGAAGTAGGAACCATGGCTATTGAGATTTGAAAGACCAAACTCAAGGCAGCAATCTTGAAAATCACGGATTTCATAGGTAGAGACAGCAGTACCATTGACCCTATCAGCAGTGCAGAGGATACTATTAAAATCTCCAAAGACTAGCCATGGAGAGTTCATATTAGCCCCAATACTCAACAAGTTTAACCACAAGGCTCTCCTAGCAGTAATAGAATGTAGACCATATACGAAAGACATGCAAACATTCTTCCCGGAATTCTTGTCTAACAAATTGCAGTGAATAATCTGGGCAGAACTTTGTAAAACATTCAAAGTCACTTTTTGAGGTCTCCAAAGGATCACAATCCTACCTGCAGAATGAGATGACAGATTATGTGTGAATTTCCAGTCCCCAAATTTACGTTTCAAAATGTTTTCAACCAAGAGAGCAGTAAGCTTGGTCTCCAAAATAGCCAAAACATCAATACTTCGTTTGCGCAAAAAATACTGCACCCCTTGGTGCTTAAGAGGCATGTTAAAACCTCTTATATTCCACGAAGCAACAATCATTGGTTTGTATGGGGATATGAGTCCCCAACACAATGTAGTGAAAGATTTTGAGACTTCTTGCCAGCTTTGAAAAGAGGCCTCCTTGTCGATTCCTTAGCCTGGATGAAGCTGCCTTTCTGTTTCTTCTTTCGGATTCTTGAAACTGCCATGGTGAATCCTTCAAAAGGTGGTTCGTTGTGGGAAATAGGATCCCAGCAAGATGCAATGTTAGGATTACATTCATCAGTTGCCAGCAGCTGATCATGAAGCCCATTTGACATTGGAACCCCTGTCTTGCTAGCTTCCTCAGTTTTATCAGTTGAAGCAGCCATTTCATCTTGCGCATTAACAACAGCCTCCAGCACCAGGGGTGAGGGGCTGGACTGGGACAGAGGGGACTCTGGCACTCTATCCACACCCTGAATTAGGTTGACCACTTGTGTTTCAAAGTGAGGCTGCTGCATGCTATCAGTCTTTTTGGGAGCCGATTTGCATTTTGCCAAGTCATGGCCTATCATCTTACAATGCACACAGAAGGAAGGTAAGCTCTCATATTCAATACTTTGAAAGAAAGAAATACCATCGGGGAGCCTGCATCTCACCTCATCCACCAAGTCCTCAGCCACATCCACTTCAACTAAGGCTCTTGCAAAGGAGACAGATTGCTTTGAAGCAGTGAGTTGGTCGGTCCTAATGGGAGTTCCAATTTTTGAAAGGATCTTACCCAAAGCCATTGGATTCCAAAGCTCCATTGGCAAATTTTTGAGATGGACCCAAACAGGGATCTTACTCAATTCCTTCGAACCGAACATGAACAAAGAGGGCATCACTTTCAACAGCAAAGGTCTTTGGAAAATAAAGTAAGGGCCAGAAGATAGGACCTTGGCCATGTCATCTTCATTATCAAACTTGAAGATAAGCCATCCGCTTGCATGGGTAATGAAGGATGACTTAACACCCCATTTTTTACAAGTATCCATTAGTGCTTTCTTCCCAGGAAACCTTCCTGCTACATAGCCTACAAGGCTGTGTTTCCAATTTCCTGAGAGGGGAAGGATATCATCTTCATCAAGAATAACATCATCCTCAGAAGAGGGAGCAATAAATTTCAAGTTAAACCCATTGGACGGACCTCTATGATCTTTAAACAGATTTGCCCATGGCTTAGCTGGATCCTTAAGGTGCTTGGTAGCAGCAGCCACCTTTACAACTTCAGGAATATCCTCTGTGACCGAGTCATCTTCTCCCAGTGTACACGATTCTGCCTCTGTTGGTTCAGGCAAACTATCAAACACTTGGTGGGCATCTTTCGAATGGGAGCCTGTTGGAGATGTTGGAATAATAGCTTCACCACTATCAACAAGCAGAGTTCCAGCATCAATAACAGCAACAAAATCCTCAGAGCTTTTGCCTTTTGAAGTATTACATACTTCGAAAGCTTTCTTCGGTGTTCGTTTTTTCTTAGCCTTACGTTTCTTTTCGATGGATCTGCCCATCAGTTCCCACGCGTATGAGCTGGGTCATCCGATAGACTCCAGACATGGAGGTTGAAGGATGAAGAAGTAGCAAACACCAGCACCAATATAAGCAATGGGTTCAGAAAGAATACAAAACTCACCGCTTGATAGGAGACCAAAAACTCACCGCTTGGAGAACACCTTCCACGCGTGGCACTTCGAAGTAAGTAACAAAAGATTGCGATCCTTCCCACTTGGGTTTTGCTGGACGCGCGGCAGGCTAAGAAGATGGAACCGAGTGAACAAATCAATATCCACCTTAACTAGCTTGGGAATGTCCGAATGAAACCAAACACCACCGCTTGAAGGGCTGCCTTTGGAAACAAAGTAACACAGCCAACGGATACCTCTACTAACTGATTCCAAGCAAGAACAACTCTCCAACGAAGATAGATCACCTTTCACCCACAATGACCAAGCCACAGGGAAGCTCCATTGGCGGCTGAAAGCGATGCAATCCCAAGGAGAGAGAACAGAGAGAAAGCCCTAGGAGAGAGAAAAAGATTGACTGAGAGCTCTTTCTTGACTGAGAGCTCTTTCTTTTTTTTGGGAAAAATGTAAATATATATTAACCCAAAAGAGATAAACAAAATAGACGGGGCATACCCCGCAAAATCAAAAACAACATATGCACTCAGTGCAAAAGCCTAGGCTAGTCCACTAGGAGCATGTGCCTAATACAAGTGAGTAAGATGAGCATGTCTATAAACAAGAAATTTAATCTTGTTAATTACATCATCAACCAAAAAAGGAACATGATCAAACAAAAGCAAATTTCTAGCCAACCAAGTACAATAAACTGTCAAAGCTATGACAAGGCATCGAGTCTTCCCCAAGGTGCCAGATAAAGCTCTCTCACGGACAAGGTGGCTGACACTGCGCTGCAAGGAGATGAAGGTCCGTGTGATAGGGGACCAATCACGGACCACCTTCCAAACTCGGATAACCGTGGGGCAGAGGAAAAACAAGTGAGCATGGGACTCCTCCACCATGCTGCACAGTGGGCAAGACGGATCAATCTCCAAGAAGGGAGCTCTATCCAACGTAAGAAGCTTGCCCTTCATGGCTAACCAGAAAATGAACGCAGCTTTAGGGGGGATGGCTGGGTTCCAGACTGCCTTGTGCCAGTATACCTTCGGCCTAGTTAATCTGAAATAGGCGTAGGCTTTGCTAGCCTCAACAGCATTGTCCCGCGTCCATGACTCGAGAGTAAGTAGCGCCCCATCAGAATGGAGCTCACGGTCCAGCAATATATTCCTAATCAGCATAATCTTCTTGAGCAATGGTGAATCCCAAGGAGATGGGTCATGCTCCCAGATATTTCCCCCTGAAGATATTGGCTATGAACCTATTTAATCCATAAAGAATCTTTCTTGGCATGGATGTCCCATAAAGTCCTAGAAAGCAATGCAATGTTCCACTCCTTAAGGCTGAAGAGACCAAGGCCCCTTCCTGTTTAGGAGAGCAAATATCCACCCAAGCAACCAGTGGCTTAGACATACAACTATTTGGCTTACCCCACAAGAAATTCCGGCAAATAGCAATGATCCGGTTTAAGACAGAAACAGGCAAAGGAAAGATGCTCATCCAAAAATTAGCAATGCCCTGGATGACGGCTCTGATGAGTTCAAGCTTCCCAGCATAAGATAAAGTCTTCCTATCCCAACTTTGGACAAGGCCCAAAATCTGAGAAAAAAGAGGATCATAGTGGATGACATTTAATCTAGATGAGAGCAGAGGCACACCAAGATACCTGAATGGAAATGCTCCCAACACAAACCCAGTAAGGCGCTGCACCTCCAATCGAGAATCTGGATCCATGCCAGCAGAGTAAATAGCTGATTTATCAGAACTGATAGAGATACCCGAGACAGCACAAAAATGAGCCAGCCTAGCATATAAAGTGGCTATAGAAGGCACATCTCCCCTAGAGAGGAGCATAATATCATCCGCAAAAGCCAAATGGGAAATATTCAGGTCACAGCAGGCTGGATGAAACTGAAAATTTATATTATCCTTGAGGCTACTCAGATCTCTAGATAGATACTCCATACAAAGAACAAAGAGGTAGGGGGAAAGGGGATCACCTTGTCTCAGACCCCTACCACCTTTGAAATGACCATGAACTGCTCCATTAACCAACACACTAAATGAAGTAGATGTGACACACTCCATGATCTAATCAGTGAATCTGGTTGGAAACCCAACTGAGACGAGGACCCACTTGAGAAAATTCCAAGAGATAGAGTCATAGGCTTTATGAAGGTCCACTTTCAGCATGCAGCGAGGGGAAGTCCTCTTACGGGCATATTTTCTAAGAAGCTCCTGGATGAGGAAGATATTATCAATCATGTTTCTATTCTTTAGGAAAGCAGTCTGAGAAGAACCAATAATTTTTTCAAGTACCGGAGCAATACGGTTGGCAAGAATCTTGGAAATAATTTTATACAAGATGTTGCAGCAAGATATTGGCCTAAACTGCTTCACTTGGGTGGCCTGGTCAGTCTTGGGAATTAGCACAATGAAAGCATGATTTAACTGCTTGAGCAATTTCCCAGAAATAAAGAACTCATTCACGGCATCAAAAATATCATCCCCCACAATGCTCCAAGCTTTCTTAAAAAACCAAGAGTTGTAGCCGTCGGGTCCAGGAGATTTGTTGTCATCCATAGAGGCAAGGATATGCCACACATCCAATTTGGATATAGGAGCAAGCAACTCATTAAAGCAGGAACTTGGAACCATAGGACCAGCTTCACACACTGCCGATACAGGGAGGCAATCAGCATCACGAGCTTGAAACAGATTACTGAAGTAATCAACAAAGGTCCCAGCTATCTGCGCTTGGGAGGATGTGGACTGCCCACTTGGAAGAGTGATAGCAGCAATAAAATGGGCATGGTGGGACCTCTTGATATAAGCATGGAAGAAGGTGGAACATCTGTCTGCTTGTATGAGGTACCTGTTCTTCATTAATTGGGCAGTTTGAAGATGATCTGCCTTGCGCAGATTCATAATTTGGTGCCTACTCTTGTCAGCTAGGCTTAACAAATTCTGGTCAATGGGATTGAGCTGGAGGGCAAGGAGCACCTCATTGTATTCAGCTTCTGCATGTTCTATCCTTGATGACAAGCCTTTGAGTTCCAAAGTGGCAAGAGTTTTCAGCGGACCTTTTAGAGCCTTCAATTTTTTACAGAGGATCCACATTTTGCAGCCCATGAGCTGCTGATCCCAACCAGCCGAAACAACCTCTACGAATTGAGGTAGTGAGGCAATGGCATTGTTGAACCTGAAGGGACCTTTAGCCCTCACAAAATTACTATTGGTATTTATAATTAAGGAGGCATGATCAGAAACAGATTGAAAGCCCGAGACCTCACAGCTGGAATTAGGGAAAATAACACTCCAATTAATGTTGCTGATTGCTCTATCAATTTTACTCCAAGTCCTCCCATTCGTCCAAGTGAAGAAGGATCCATGGGAGGTAATGTTAGCTAAGGCCAATTCTGTGCAGCAATCTGAGAAGTCTTTGGACTCATAGGCTGTAACATCCGCTCCATGGAGTCTATCTTGTGGAGATAAAATGCTGTTGAAGTCCCCCATAATTAGCCAAGGGGTGTCATCTGGAGGAGCTAAGTCCACTAGCGAGGACCACATAGCTCTCCTGGCCGAAACAGAATGCAGCCCATACGTGAAGGTGATCAGGAAATTTGTGTTGGATTCCTTACACACACAAGAGCAATGCATAGTTTGGGCTGTACAAGATAAAATAGACAAGTCAGATTTGTTTGGTTTCCAAAGCAAGATTATCCTACCTGTATTATGAGAGTTCAAGTTATGAGAGTAGCTCCAATCCTTGAATTTTCTTTGCATTATATTATTTACAGAGTAAGCATCCAGTTTTGTCTCTAGGATGGCCATAATATCAATCCCTTTAGCATTGATAAACTTCTGCATCATGCGATGCTTTAGGGGCATATTAAAGCCCCTAATGTTCCAAGATGAGATTATCATACTGATAAGGAGGGGATGGGATCCCCCACACCAGAAATGGTTGTGTGTTTAGCCCCTTTACTCACTGCCTCCAAGACCTGGGCGCTGCTGCTGATGTGTTTGTTGGTAGTGATCACCTTCGGCTTTTGCTTCCTGATCTTGGGATCAGGAGATTTGGTTACACTTGCACTAGCAGCTGCAGCATTAATCTGGATTCCTTTCTTGGCTGGAGAGTTAGCAATTGCACTGCTAGCAGCTGTATTAACATAGACTCTTTTCTTTGCTGGAGAACTGAACAGACCCGTAGGGGGGATTTGCATCAGCTTTAGTGGGAGCAGCTGCTGCTGCCACTTTGGTACTCGATGGCATGTCATAAACTTGGACTAGCTTCTTCACTGTTCTGAGGTATCTACCTGGCAACTTATTAGCATGTAGTTTGCCTGAACCAACAGCATCCAGAGCAGTTTGCAATAAGGGGGAGGTCCTTCTGAATGTGTGTCCAACACTGGTTCTGTTGCTTTAGGTATCTCATCCGCAGCTTTTCCTTTAGGGGCATATGAACAAGAAGCCACCTCATGTCCTATAGTCTTGCAATAAGAACAAAAGGATGGCTCATTCTCATATTCAATCGGTTGCTCTAACATTCTTCCATCGGGTAACTGAATGACCACCAATTGAGTTAAATCCTTGGAAGCATCAACCTCCACCAAGGCACGGGCAAACGAAATTGACCCCCTAGTGGCTGTAAGGTGGTCCGTTCTCAAGGGCTTACCTATCTTGCATAGGATTTTCCCAAGAGCCTTTTTACTCCATAACTCTAGAGGAAGATTCCTTAGCTTGATCCAAACTGGAATTTTACTAATCTCCTCATCACCAAAATGGAAGAAAGGAGGCATTGGCTTCAAAAGCAACGGGTTTTTGAACACAAAATAAGGTCCTGCTTGAAGAACCTTGTTCATATCCTCTTCAGGCGTGAATCTGAATATTAACCATCCGCTGGAGTGTGGGGAGTAAGCATACTTAACTCCCCATTTCCTGCACACATTGGTCAGAGCCTTCATTCCAGGAAATTTGCCTGCTATGTAGCCAATTAAACAGAAACCAATTGATTCATCAATGGGCTGCACATCCCCATATTCCATGATGACCTTGTCATCCGAAGAATCTGCTTCACAATCATCCCATTGGAGCCCCTTACTCTCAGCTCTGTTGTCCTTGAAAAGGCTGGTCCAAGGTGTAGCTGGAAGCGTAGGCTGAACCTTTGAATTAACAACCAAATCAGAGTTACCTTCACCATCTACGGTAATGGAGTCTTCAACTCCAAGAGTAATAGATGGTTCGGGTGTCTCACCATGCTGGGAAGTGGAGGTATCCACGGGTGAGTTAGCTTGCACTGAATCCCCATCCGATTCTGCACCTTCGTCTGTTTCAGGACTTTCTACAAACACCTGGTCCGCATCAGCCAAATGGGAGGGGGATATATTTTCCTTGTTAGGGGAAGATGCCTCAACATTAACAGCAGCCACAGATGGTGATTTGCCTATAGAATCTCGTTTTTTATTTTTATTTTTCCCCATTTTGGGGAGAAAGCTTCGACCACAGGATAGAGGACCAAAGTAAATGCACTATACCAACCAGATAGCCTGCGTTTAAATGCAAATAAAAGACCAGGACCCCACTCGCAAAGTCTGATTCAATGTCCAAGCAAGCTGGACGTGACAGTGAGTGAGCAAAGGAAGTATATTAAAGCCAAAGATATTTTCCAGAACCCCACCACCGAACAAGTACCGTGTATGAATATGGGGATTAAACCCACAATGTAACCACCAAATGCTACACGTGGCTGAAGCTTAGATCCAGAAGCCAGCACACGTGTAGCAAGCAGATCTGAAGCTCAGGTCCACAATGGCCAGCAAGGAGGTTCAGCAAAAGTGTAGGACCAACTAACAGCAACCGTTTCACTCACCCCCTTCAGCAACGTGTCTGAAGCTGATGACCAAAGTCAGCACACGTGTAGCCAGGCAAGGGCAACGTGAAGAAAGTTACGGGTTCACGAACGTTGACGGAGAGCAGATCTACACCGAGAAGAAAGCAGTGGAATAGTCAAAGTGCTTAAGCCCAAGGTTCTCTTACCAGCAACCAAGCCACCGCAACGGAGAAGGTGTCCAGCCCACAATGGCCGAGCCACAGGGAGCCTCCCTATGGTGGGTGGTCCTCCTCGGTTGAGCAACACGGATAGGAGAGAGAACAGAGAAAACCTGACTGACTCGACTGAGAGCTGACTGACTGACTGAGAGCTCTTTCTTTTTTTTTTTGGAAAAATGTAAATATATATTAAACCCAAGAGATACAATATAGCTGGGGCATACCCCGCATAATCAAAAAATATAATATCAAACAAATGACCCTAGTGCTAAAGCTATACAAAAGCTAAGCAAGAGCTAAACCACTAGGTGCATGTGCCTAATACAAATGGGAAATGTGTGACTGCCTATAAACAAGAAATTGAATCTTGTTAATAACATCATTTACAAAATAAGTCCCATGATCAAAAAGAACACTGTTCCTAGAGAGCCAAACGCAGTAAACTGTGGCTGCCAATGCAAGGCATCTCTGCTTGCCAACGACGCCAGAAGCTGCTCTGCAACGATTCAGCTTATCAATTGTGCCATTAAGGGAGATGTTTCTCTTGGGAAAGAGACTCCAATCTCTAATAGTGGACCAAACTCGAAGTACCTGCGGGCAAGAAAAGAACAAGTGGGCATGTGTTTCTGAATCAGATTTACAAAGATAGCATGTTTGGCCCTTGTTTAAATAAGGTGCCTTGTCAAGAGTGAGTAGCTTTTTGTTAACAGCAAGCCAAAGGATGAAGCTCATTTTTGGAGGAATAACAGTATTCCACACAATGTTTTTCCACGGTACCAATGGCTTGGCTTGTCTAAAGTATAAGTAGGCTTTGCTAGCAACCAATTTGTTCCCCTGGACCCAAGACTGCAGAACGGTCACAGCATCAAAAATGGTGATCTCTTTAGCAACGATGCAATCGCGAATATGGAGTATTCTTTTCATGAATACTGAGTCCGAAGGTGAAGCATTGCAGTCCCAAACTGATTGTCCCTTGAAATAGTAGTGCTGAATCCACTTCACCCAAAGGGAGTCCTTTTTTGTATGGAAGTCCCAAA